GCTCAATTGAGTCGTCTGCCGAGGCCCATAGTTGCTATATTCCACATAATATGTGTTTGTGAGTTTGTGTATGTAGCAATGCCTACAAAACCATACACATTAAAAATCTACTTACTTTTGTTCTACGCATTACATTCAAAGACATGGCGTGGTATGAAGTGGTATATAAATGAAGATGCTTTGCTTTTGCTTTGCTTCAGTTTTATCATCTTGGCTTTCAGGGAGGTTTCCGATTTGATCTGTTCTAGGACCCACTTGTTTGTCCTTTTGGCTGCCCATGGGATCCTCAGCACTCTTTTCCAGCACCACATCGCAAAGGAGTGGATTTTCTTCCTATCATCTTTCTTAACTGTCCAGCTCTCACATCCATATGTGGTAATAGGGAATACAATGGCTTGTATGATTCTAACTTTTGTGCTGAGTTGTATATCTTTGCATTTTGGAATCTTTTCTAGTTCTAAAGCCACCTTCCCCATTCTTAGTCTTCTTCTGATTTCCTGACCGGAGTCCTCATTTCTTGCCTTGGAAATACTCTCCTTCATTTAGAAATTTTTAAGCCTAGGCTGGATGGCCATCAATTTATGATGCTATAAAAGTGAATTTCTTACATCAGCAGGGGACTGGACTTGCTAAATTTTGAGATTCCTTCCAACTTTATTAAATGTTCAAAAGGAGTCACACACATTTTTTTTTAAAAAAAATATGACAGCATTTTACAGAAGTCATAGTACCAACAGCATGTGACTGAAATACTATATACTGCTTGAATAGTTATATCAGGTCTAAATTCAGTTGTTAGTCCCAGGAAGAATAGCCCAAATGAATCAGTGGGAATTTGGTAAAGCTAACTGGGAATTATGTAAAGTTAAGTTCCACTGAGTCAATCAGTCTGCTCTGGTTGAGACTAACAATTGGATTTTGGCCTTAATTTTTCAATTTACGATACTTGAATTTTTCCTTTAAAATTATTGTTATTTCAAGGATGTTCACTGAAAATACAGATAAAAATCATATTTTCAGCATTAATGTTCCCATAGCCATTCTAAAACCTTGCACACCTGTACATTAAACTAGCTTGATATAAATAATATTGTTGCTGAATAATTTGTGAGCAGGAAATATTCAATAAAGACAGCACAAACTGCCCCTTATGATTTAAGAATGTATATAGATTCATATAATGAAAATTGATAATGGCAAGGTTGTGAATGACCCTCAAGTTAAATGCTTCTCCCATGGAAAATAAATGAACAGCAGATAAATTTGATGAGGATCATAACCTCTTCAAGGATAATTTATAATGGAGCAAAAGTTTTTAAATAAACTATGCACAACAAAAAATTTGAATATCTGAGATCTGTGAACACACTTACAGTGCTGAATTCTAGAATTTAGAGTTTGGTGATCAAGCTCTCCATTCCAGGATGCTATCAAAATGCCTATTGTTTCATGCTTTTGGATACCACCTTTGAATGAGAGCTTGGTGAGAAATATTTTAAATAAATGAATAACATCATCCTAAGAGGTTGATTATGTTTGGAGGGAATCACAGATATCGCACTGTAGTCTGTCAGAAGAATAAAAGGGTAGGAGAGAAGAATTTCTTTTCAGTGGGTGCTTCTATTTCCACCTCTTGCTGGATGGAGAAACCTGTATTTATAGACTATAAGCCAAAGATGAGCTTACATTTGTAACTTGAGCCAGCTCTTGAATCCACCTGTGGTGGAGGAACTCCCAGCAATTTTTGTCTTTCTTTTTCTCTTGTGTCTCAGGTAACCTAGATTGTGAGCCTCTGGCCAAGGATTTGCCTTTTAATTGTGTAAAACATTTATTGAAATGCTATTCAAAGTACTGTAACAAATAATAACTGGATGCATTTAATGCCTAATGGCAGAAAAACAGAACATATTAAAAATAAAGCTAAAGCCTCCCGTCCCCAATATGTGTGTACATGTAACTATTTATGTACCTTTAAGTCACCTGTTGACTTATGGTGGCTCCATGAATTTCATAAGATTTTCTTAGGCAAGGAGTATTGAGAGGTGCCTACAGCACCTGGTATTTGCAGTCTCCCATCCCAGGTACTAACCAGGTCTGACCCTGTTTAACTTCCAGATAAGACCTGATCTGGCACCTTTAGTTTTTATACTGCTATGTATCTGCTATTACAAAAATGTCAAAAGTGTGTTGGGAGTAAGGCACAGAACACCCATTTCCTTGTCTCCCTAAAACAAATGCAATGAAGTAATTAGTGGATTAACAAGGTCAAAGCCCAGAACCTTTCTGTTAAGGGAATTCATTCATTGAACACTCTTAATTAATCTCAACTATCTTTTTGAAAATAATAATAAACCCAGAATACAGAGTATTAAAATGGCTGGCTTCTGCCCAGAAAACTTTTATTGAGTAGGCTAAAAATATAATAAATAAATATTTCTCACACACATTTGTAAACACAGTCCTCCTTAATTGTTTCTCCTTATCCACTGATTCTTTATCCATG